CTTGGCCAACAGCAAGCCCGCACAGGTCCACATTCCCGCAGCCAGCGGCAGAGTCGCACGCTTCAGCAGCACCTGCGAGAAAATGACTTCGCCGGACAGCCAGGAGCAGGGCTGCGGAACATGCAATCCACTTCTTCATGTTTTTGACACACAAGGCATGGCATAGTTTTCTATACCTTCTTTGGCTTACATGGCCTTGCCGGTTGACCACTTCTGTGATACAACCGAAAGGGCTTCCCAAAGACTAACCCTCCATATACAGGGGGACATGCCCAAGAGTATCACAGAAGTGGTTGGATAAACCCCGAGTGATCCCGCAACCCTGGATTGAAAGCCAGCTTCCGTTTCATAGGTCCTACTGTGGACGGGCAAACTCCTGCACCAGTTGCCATGCATGACACCCTAATGCGGGGACAAGCCACCCACCAACTCGTGCAGGATTTTGTCCATCCACAGTCTGGGCATCGCTAAAAACCAAGCTGGTATGCAAAGCCCTGAGTTTTCTGAGGCAAAGTACTAGAAAAAAAGATTCGGGGGAAGCCAGCCTACATAGATTCATACATGGCCACGGTTCAAAACCAATGGTACCATTTTGGGATAGGTGCACCACCCATTTTAAAGTCTATTTTAGTGGGGATTGGGATGTTCACTGGGGGTACGGGGTTTTGACCCATGGCCACATGGGCGCACACAATCAGCCTTTGAACCTCAAACAGCAAAATGAAGTCCCACACTGAGGGACCGCCCACGACGCCTATTTCTGCAACGAAATGAATCCGTGTCAAAATGGGGGTTCGGACCCCCTCGGCATGGATTTATTTAGCTCTTCTTTTTGGCTTCCCCTAAAGATACCCTGAAAAGGCCATCCTCCCCCCAAAACCATCTTACCAAAATCCTGGGCACCAAAGCCACAACCGCTATACCAAGCACACAAACAAACAAAAAACATAGCCACCCACACTGGGATTTTTTCGCTCTCCTGGTGCCTCCATCAAAAACAGATCCCCACCCTCGCCGAGAGCCGAGGGGTTTTTCTGGAGCCCCTGGAGCCGAGCCGCCCCAAAGAGCTCCATGGCCGAGGAGGCCAATTGGGGATCCGCCTCAGGCCTCGGCTCGCTTGATCGCGCGGAGGCGCGCTCACGAGGAGGGGAGCTCACGGCGCACGTGACGCGGAACTTACCCGAGAAAAAAAACGACCAATAAACACCCAGGGCCCGCGTTTTCACCCAAGACCCACGTTTTTTTAATACACAAAAACAGCCAACAAACCGTTTCTTAATACACAAAAAGGACCAAAACGCCGTGATTTCCGAGTGGATGATGGCGAAATCCGTGCGCACCGCGAAATGAGACCATAATTTTGTTCATCCACAGTAGTATGGGGAGTGTTCCCATCCCCCAGGCTTGGAACGGTGTTTCCACGGAATGGGGGATCGGCCAAGGCTACTGCCTACAAAAGAACTCCGTGAATTCGAGGAGGCGCCTCTTTTCTAAATCAAGGTGTCACTGCAGACATGACGTAACTTGATGTCACCTGAAGCTAGCGATCTATGTCAGCATTTCATTTCCATCAACGCTCCACGTGGCCACACCCTTTTCAGGTGATAACTGAAATACATAACAAGATATCTGCAGCCCTGCACACCTAACTGTTGCATCCTGCGCCAGCATCCTGCAGCTTTCAAACTCGGCTATGGACACCATCAGCAAACAGTTTCAACAGCCATTCCGCCATTGCAGGCCGAGCTTCTCAAAAAGTTCATTCGTTCGGGACGCCAAACCTACAACAAAAAACCCAGCCCCAACCCCTCAACATGGCCCAAGAAATCCAGAGACATGCAGGCTCTGCAACCATGCATGTTGCAGCAATGCATTTCGTCCAAATATAGCTTCCTGTCTGCACACATCTTACAATTCAGTCCGGAAAACGGGTCAAAATCGGCGTTCGATGGGTGTGCTACTTGAGATCCTCAGGCAGGCTCATGAAGGAGCAGGGGAAAGGCATGGGATGCAACATGGGAAAGAGCAAACCCCAAAGAGTTAGGAGCGACACCTCAAGACACGTCGGCCGATTTTTGTGCTTTTTTGGGGGGCATAGGGCCCCACAAAAGACATGTCGGTGTCTTCTCGCTTCATGCCAAACCTAAGAAGGCTATCCTACACTGCAATGTAAAGAAGTCAGCAACTATGCAAGTTCCACAGTGAGATATAGCCGAAACTCTAAACCCTGACGGGATCCCAAGTACACCTTCATGAGCTCGCTTTGGCAGGCTGGCAACGGTGTGTCGAATCTTAGCCACTGTGGTTGGGGCGGGTTCACCCGGCTTAGATCCTGAACCTCCGCTGTGAAGGGCCTTTTAGGGGCGCCTTGATTGAACAGCCAGACTCTGGGACCTCTAACCCAGATTTTTAGGAGCCGCTGAGATTGAAGGGGCCTCTGACTCAGTCATCTTCGGATCTCCACCTCCGCCATATTCTTTCGCGGTTGGATGACTTGAGCCCCAAAAACCGCCAACCAAGCCAAGCTACCAGGGTTCCGAATACAAGGAAGATGCGTGTGGACCCCACGTGGAAAGGTGTCTCCGGGGAACAAAAAAGGGACCGAACATCGCACACCGAAATATCAAGCCGCTGCAGGTCGCTGTGCACGACTGGCAGTAGCTGATCCTGGCAACGGCATTGGCTGAATGACACAAACCCCCTCTATTAGCGTCGAACCTCCCCCCCCCCATTTGGAGGTAGGTGCACCAACCATCTTAGTCCATTTTAGTGGGGATTGGGATGTTCACTGGTACGGGATTTTGACCCACGGCCACATGGCTCTCCTGCACAAGCTGAATTGAACCAAATCATACGACTTGGACGTCACCTGGTTCTGTCTGCAAGCGCATTTTGAGGAAGCCAAAGCGCACCCGGCGCATATGCAGGGAAAACAACCACACTACTTACCGCCAGTGGCTGCAGAGGCAGCGAATGGCCGCACCTCCCCAGTTGTTTACCCCGCTTGGCGAAAAGGACAGGAAAGGACAGGGCTGAGAAAATGGCCACGCCAGGTTTGTTTTGCGGCGACAGGACCCCGAGGCGGTTTGGGGATTCAAAGGCACCCGCCATTGGAAGGGCAACGGGGCCCAAGACAAACCCAAACCACGATCTGCCTTAAAAATACAACAAGGGCCCTAAGATTCCTTTGAGAACAACACAGCCATGCAAATGCTCACTCAATCATTCCTGCTAGGTAGAAACAAAGTCATAACGCAAAAGTGGTCCCTTCCTCTTTCTCCCCTTTTCTTTGACCCCGAACGCCTGGCAGCCACTTTTTAGCTGGAAACCCAGGATTTGCGGGTTGAATCAACTGGAAGGATGTCCCACGATTCAACTGACAGGTGAACTACCCCGATCAATCCACGGCACATCCCCGCAAGATCAATCCAGGTCCAGCGGACATCTAGGCCACTGGAAGGGAAGCCCAACCCATCTTCTCGATGCTTCCTTCAAAGGCATGCCTAGCTTCATTGAGAACTTGCCGCAGGTCGGCGAACACTACTTACTCAATACCGACTCTCTATTTTTTAATATGGTAGTGTGCATAAACATGTAATTGTGCTGCTCTTGTTGGGCTGCCCCGCTCCCCCCCCTAAATGGGAAACATACGCCACAGAGCTTCAACTGGGTGCCCCGCCCCCCTTGAAAGTTGAAATTTGAATGCGCGGGCAAGAGGGTGGCAACAGTGTTCTGAAACAAAATATATGAGAGGCATGGCCCGTTGTGTAGCATGACCCTTTCTCTAATTAAAAAAAAATCTTGCTGTGGCCATCCCCTCTCGAAAGTGGCCTTCAGTTCCCACAATTCTGACACAGACTCCTCAAGTTGCTGCTGCTTTTTCGAGGGCGCCATTGTTGAACCGCACCAAAAGACACAACTGCCACTTTCGGAGCTCAAAGATAATTTGAGGGGCCCTGATTTTCTGGGCTGTCCAAAATAAAACCTGCAAAAGAGTGACCCACATTTTTGGTGGGTTAACTGGGAACCCAACCAGACCAACCAAAAAGAGCTAAAAACCTCACGAACCGCACGCCTAGCCGAGTGAGCTATAGCCGCAGGCACGGGACCCCAATGCCTCCATGGCCTTCTGAAGTTGCCCCGATGAGATGCAGCAGCTCACCAAATCCAACACCTGGCTCGAGAGTCAAAACCACTCCCTCGTGTTGAATCGATCTCCGAGTCAAAACCAAATCTAAACCCAGTACGGAATCAATCTCCTTTAGGAAAATTTCAAGCCTTTGGGATTGCCTGGGAGTGCCAAATCGGATACTTTTGGACATGGGAAAAGGCGAGTTGGGGGTGCTGGTAGGCAATCCATCTCCTGCAAGGGGCGATTTTTTTTTTTGTTTCAAATAGTTTGGGAGATTCCCAAAGTGCGTTATGATCGTGCATTCGCTGAGCTAGAAGTTTGTGACAGTTTGACCTGGATGTAAGCACATGCTGGTACGGGGTTCTGATCGAAGGGTTCTGAAAACCATCCTGGTGGGTAGGAAGGCCAAGTTCCTCATTTGAGGAACGCCAAGCGAGGAACCATTCGAATGATGCGCGAGGTCTTAAGTTTGTGTCGTGGATGCCCGTCCGTTGCCGATACGCGGCGTTCAGCTCATCACGTAAGCAAGGGTTGGTCCTAACAATCCTTTCGGATTGGAAGAAACGTCGCAATATTCAGTTGTTGCTTTTTTTGGCAAGAATTAAGGCTTCCGCATTGGACACATCCCTAGAAACGCTTAAAGCGATCTTGGGCGCCAATTTACTCAGACAAGGAGCCCCTGCCAGGTTTCCTGACGACGATCCCATTGAATTTTCTAGGACGAATGCCTCTTTGTTTCGGATTTGGACCCCCAAAATGGTCCCAGCCTTAAGAAAAGACGAGCCACCACAAACCGACCAATCTCTCGCGCCCGCGACGCACAGGACGGACCGATCCGCGGACCCCGTGCCCCTTTGAGGACGGACCGCTCCGCCTGCATGTGCACCAAGGGGTCGGAGGCGCAGCGCCGCCAGATCTGAGGCTCGGAAGGTTCGCTTTGCCGGATCTACAGGCTATGCTTGATGGCTCAACCACGGCGAGGAATCGCCCAGTTGTTTCTTCCCTTCTGGAGATCCTTGACTGAACAGGACCCCGCCATTGAAACAATTCACGTTTCATCACCAGCTACCCTTCAGCAGTTTCATCCAATTTGGGTCCAAGGCCATTCTCTTCATGGGGCTTGAACCCCTCTCCGCTGAAAGCTTCCCACTCTCAGACAAGTTAATTACATGGGTTGCCCCAAACGGGGGGATCCCTGAACAGAAGACTCCCCGACAAAGCCGTTGTTTGTTTCCATGGTAGTCTACAGAGTATATAATATAAGGCCGATAAGGCCTAAAGTGGGGGTGTCTCCCAAGCCAGCGGGATCCTGTTCAGTGAAGGCTCTCTGACCAGGATCGGGAGGAAACAACTACCTCCGTCCCTCAGATTCCTGAACTGGTGTGCCACGGGGGTCTACCGGAATCCCGAACGGTTTGCCCCGCTCGCTCAGCAAAACAATAGGATGGAGACGACATATAAAAACAGAAACACACGTCATATATTGGCTTTGACTGTTCTGCGTGAAGGCCTTGTCCTTATGCACGTGTTGTGCATGTCATTGTTATGTGCTCATACAACCGTGTTCACAGCTGTGCACCAAGTTGCATCAGTTGTATATAGAGTCTGATGATCGAAACTTTAGGTCTGTCTGTATTGTCATGATATGCCATCAAATCACTGGTACAAGCCAACTACATTGACCTGGTTTGCCGTTTTCTGATACATCCTTGAGACCCTCAAAACACTGAGGCATCATCTATGCTCAATGCCGGTGTCATTTCTCAGATTCCCCGCTAAAAGTTTAAGTTTAACTCTTTGTGGGTTAAATGGAAATCCCCACTAAACACTAAAAAGCTCAAAAGCTAAGGGGATGGCTGGGCACCATCAAGGTTGTTGAATGGGTAAGGAAAAGAAAACAAACGCAAACCACACATTTACACCCAACTGCCATGTGCCCAACGCCAGCAAACGACTCTGTAGTCCGTTTGTTGATCTCCTCTTGCGCAAGCCCGGAGGAAAGAGCGCAAAGAAACTTTTTGCACTCTGGCGCATTTCAAAGGCATCTTCTTACTTTGAAAGACTGGAATGGGAGGAGTTGCCGCAGTACTGATACACGGAGATAGGGTTGGCTGCACTAATGAGCGCTATTTAGGCAGCGGCATCGTGCAGCATGTTGAAGTTCGGCCAACTCCACGTCAATCCATTGTGGAAACTCACCCTGTCTGTGATGACATCCCATCACTTTATGACTTCAAAGCAGGCTCGCCTGAGTACCACCGAAATTGCTCTTAAAGCCAAGTTGCCAGCAACCATAACCCCTAGCAGCAAAAGACAGACCTGGCCAAAACTCCCATGTTCGTTTGTGCGAGCCCACCAAAACGACCACACAGTGCCACAAAGCAGACCGATCCCCGAACTCCCGGCCCCGTCCTGAAGGGTGAGCGGGCACAGGTCGGCCTCCACTTTCGCCATGGTGGCGGGACATTGCTGGCGCAGGCAGGGTTCATTTATTTCGACGGTTTCTGGGGGTTATCAAAGTCAGAAATGGGGCTTGGTTCCCTTTAACCCACCACTTCGGGGGTGACTCTGACCATGGGAACATAATGAGGCCAGGCAGGCGAGGGCAGGAAGCTGAAGCACCAACCAAAACACTCCTCCCCACACACACACACACCCCAAAAAAAAAAAGTGTTTCCAAAAATTGGAAAGACTTCCAAAGAAAAACGACCCCTCGCATGGATGTTGCCAAAAAAAGACCCCCGATTGGAGAAGGTTCGGAAACAAAGGACAACGACCCGTTTGGCGAATGATCAAACATGCCTTCCTTGAGCTGATGTTTGACTTGGGAAATCCAATGGGGGAGCCATCCATTGTCACTCCCCCGGACACAAACCCACATTCTCGTCTGGCATCGCAGGTTTTTCTTTGAAGCTTGATGTATCTTGATGTAGCTCGGAGATTGTGTTTAAGGCAAGCCGGTTTTGCAGGGTTGGACCAAGCCAACTTGGTTTAACATCATGGTTGCTTCGCTTCTCGCAGTGTGCCCTCAGCTTGTTGACTGTATCTCGCTGTGACTTGTTGTGCCTATTTGGGTGTCTGTTGCTGATGGTACCCATACCCAACCACGGGACGTGGCTCAATGTGGGTGTCTCTTTTTGAGGATACCCATGATACCCTTTTGAAGACGAAAGGAAGCCAGCCTGGGCAGACACGAAAGACGACAAGTGAACAAGCCCAACTTGTTTTGCAGGAAAATGCGGTGCGAGATATTTTGTTCCGTTGGCATGTGGCCGTCCCACGTTTTCCTGTCAAAGCAAGGCGGCCGTCCCGCGAAACTACGTGAAGCTGCGGCTGGCATATTGTTCGTTTTCTTCAGATCATGTTTTATTTGTTCAATTACAGCAGAGATGGTTGGGGCATTGTCCAGATTCCAGATGCGTGTTTTGATTTGTTCATTTCACCACTCAGTGTCAAGTTGTTTGTGCGCGCGTGTGTGTGTGTGTGGCAGCATACCCTTAGTAGAAACCTAGCAACACCTCCATTCGTGTTCCCCTCCATTTCATACCTACCCATTTCGTCTAGAGTAGATTATGGAATCCCTAAGGGGTAGTGGAGAGTCCTAGGGTTCTTTCGTGTTCCCTACACAAAAAACCTTGGGGTTCCTTAGGGAGCCTTCAGGAGCTTCGGCTTGGACCAGCCCCTTAGGGACTCCACAAGTCCATGGCTCGTATTCGCCGGTGGGCCTTTTTCCTGAACGCCGAGCCTGAAATGGGCCGTTGAACCCTTTCAAATGATGTCTTGCCGTACATGGGCAGGGACAGAGACCCTCATTCTGGGTCCTAAGTGAGCATGTGGAGGGTTTCTCAAAATTACTCTTCGGGGTTCCCTTTGGACACAATGTATCTCGTAATGTTGAGGATGTGACTCTATTGAACCCAGTAGTTCATGACAAAGTGTCAAGTAGGCAAACGTCTTGCGATGGAACTATGGTTTGGCGGTGTGAGGGCAGCTTCCTTCAAGTGCTCACAAAATAAGCGCGACGAAGAAGTACGAGGAATGCGGGGCCTCCAGAAAGGGGATCCTCGAATGTGGCGCTTGTCCTTTTGATTCTCCTTAGGAAGTACAGGAGCCTTTTGTCTTTTGAGAATGCCAGAAAAAAGACCGCCCATCTTTTTCTCAAGGTTGGCCTCCCATTGGTTTCATCGCCCTTTTGACCAACGAATATTCCCTGTTTCAGGCATGGCACATTATTGTTTGAACAACCTCCTTTTCCCTTTGAAGGCACTGGGCTGGTGCTTTAAGCACCATGTACTACCAACCTTGGATTCTACCATCCCCCTTATGTTGACCCAGGATTAATAAACCGTTCCAGTATTAGGGGGGCGTTCCCTCCAAAAGTGGTCTGAATCCCCCCAGTAATCAACCAGGGGTTTATTGATCCGGGGTTAATATTAAGGGAAACCACAAGGGGCAGCAGGTAGCAGGCAGGACCCTCGCCCCTTGGGCGACGCGCCTTGACGATGATGCACAGGCATTCCAGGCATAGGTGCAACAGCTCCTGGCATAGCAGCGCCGAAAGGGGTTTCCTCGGCTTCCCTTTTAACGGCGAAAAAAAATGCCTCAAAAAAACAAAGGACAAGAGAGTTTGGTGCACTGGTTCCTGGTGGTAAATTATATGGTGAGTGTACCCCATGCCTTGCCCTTGACACGAAAACTTATGACTCCATAAACATCACCCCGCCCAGAAACTACCCAAAATGTCAATGCCTTGAAAAGTAACATGTACATCTGCTGCCAGCTGGCACATCTTCGGATAGTCCTGCATCGCATGTACCGATGTTGGCCCTTGAATACCTTTATGTTGAGGACACAGTCACTCTGTTAATGAATGCAAACCGATAAAGTCAGGCTGTATACGTATGATCTCAAGTATGCCAACATTTAAACATGTGATCATTATGTCCCTTCCGAATTCCCAATGAAAGAAGGGTCACGCAAAGCAAAATGCCAGCTTTATGTCAAACAAGCGCAGAAAATATGTCATCCTTCTGACAAATACCCTCCTGCAGATTGAAAGGCAAACAAAAAAATGCGTTGCCATATAGTATTGGAGGAATCTCCTCTTCCGGGGGAGGGATTGAGTTTGTTGATTTGGGAAGTGGCCTCTAAACGCGCGGCCACGATTCACTCGTGACCCACAGCAAACACAAAGCATCACCTGAAGCAAACCCTTGAAACTAAGATGGGACCCTACGATCCACTAGGGAAACATCTGTGCAAATGTTCATCGTACAGAAACCTGAAATAAGGAAGGAAGGGATCTTCTTTCATCATGGGTGAGCTCGTCTTACACCCCCTCCCTCCGTGAGCTCGCTCTAGTAGGTGCACAATGATAGAAGAACACACCAGCTGAAGCAAATCAACAGGGATGTGTCAAACATCTTGCCACTGTGCCGCCTTTTGCGTCAACTTTCACAGGCGGACCCAACTTTTGCCCCCCCCCCCCCTGGCCAAATAAAAACACAAAAGAAAGAAAGAAAGAAAGAAAGAAAGAAAGAAAGAAAGAAAGAAAGAAAGAAAGAAAGACAGACAAACAGACTGGCAAACAGAAAGAAAGAAAGAAAGAAAGAAATAAAGAAAGAAAGAAATAAAGAAAGAAAGAAAGAAAGACCGAACAACAGCATTTGGGTGTGTTTTTTTCAGAGAATCCCCCAAAACAAGCGATTATTATGTTGATTGTCCCTGTAACACCGACCAAAAAGGGGTACCAACTCAAAAAAAAGAAGAAAAGAAGACGAGCCACTGGTCCGTCCGGCCGGTCCGAAATGGATCGATCTGAGCTCCTCGTCCGCCTCTCGGAGCAAGGAGCCCAGAGAGGCGAGAACGCCCTTCTTCAGGAGCAACTCCTAAGTTCTGGAATTCAGAGTCGAACAAAAATGATATAGTAGCTGGATTCGGGGTTAAGGGACCATTCATTCGTCAAGGCGAATTGGCTGCTCAAATAGCTGGAGCTTTGGATTCTGAATTCGGAGTCGAACTGGCTGGCCACCCAAAATGGAACACCCCTTCTACACGATGGGTCGGTCCGTGCAGTTCAAATAATTCACACATGAAACAACCCATTTTGCCCAACCATGCATGGGGGAAAAACAGTGTTGAAAGCCATCTTCTGCCCTTCGTACCAGTCGACATCTTCCCAACCCATGTGGGCTATTGGTCCAACAGATCTCAGGAAATCAACGTGAAGCCATCACCAGAGTCCAACTGCCAAACCTTTCAAAAAAGTCGGCCGAAATGGATCGAGTCTGCCCGAGGGATTTTTCATCGTTCTCCGGGACTCTTCCGGCCTTTGTGGTAAGCACCGTTTCCTTGAAGGAATGCATGGGATTTCTGTGTTCTCCAAAGGGCAACGCAGAAAGGGCAGCTCCCCACCTCCTCCCAAAGTGCAACTTCGGTGGCTCCGTTGGCTGTAAGAACACATGAGCCCACCCCCAAAACCGGCCGTCAAGAAAGAGAAGTTGTGGGGAGCCCGGCCAAAACGTGGCTTGCACCAACCACGTCTCTCCAAGTAATTCGAGGGGAACTTCTTTTGCATGGATGGTCTTATCATTTGTTTTCTTTAGGGAAAGCCTAAAGACTTGCGTGGCTCCCGGGCACTGTGAGATCGAGCCGGCGTGTCTGACGAGACAAAGCCCTGAAAAAAGCGATCCACTGGTCGGAGTCTCAGGTGTTCCCCGCAAGAGAAGGCTCCCGCACGGACGATTCAACGTGCGGCTTACCCACCCAATCATGGAAGGTGACAACCACCCCGCATCAGCTTCCGTGAAATGACTTGGCCCACACTTGGCCCAGATCCGTACCTGCAAATATCTTCAGAGGAGGGCCCAGAGCCATGGCGACTTTGGATTAATCCGGAGAAGCCCACTAGTCAGCGAAACGTCCAAACGTAGATATCACGTCCTGTCTAAAGGGGGAATCAACCCTGAAAGTCGTCTGATTCTCCGGACAGATCCGAAGTCGACATCGAACTTTACCTTCCATTTGCTTAAGTCCCCTGCAAAAGAAAAAAACAACAGCAGTGATAGATTCCCTTTAAAGCCAAAAAGGGAAAATACGACATATTCTTGAGCAAATAGAAGTTACTTTCCCCCCGACAACTCCGGTCGCCCGTCCTCGCGCAAGGCCTCGTCTTGGGTGGAGGTGAGGAAGCGGCAGAAGACGCGGCAGGCACTGACCAGTCGAACGCGAGAGACTCGTTTGCTTGCCTGCTGACACCTGATTAAACCCTCCACTTATTCAGGGTGTTTGCTTGTTAGTGGGGAATCCTTTTCAGAGAAACCGGGACCCCATGTCCACCAACATTCAACTTCTTCCGGTGGCCCCCGAGCTCACGGTGATAACTCTTCTGAAGTCGAACCTTTCAAGATCTTGGTCTGCGTTCTTTTCAGCGTGACCAAGGCATAGTCAACCGGTCGCCACGGCAAAATCCTCCGCAAGTGGCAAGGGCAAGCGCTCTACAAAAAAAAACGGCTTCGGACTCGGAAGCCTTCGGTTCGCAAGCGCGACAACCCCAACACCAAAGCAAGACAAAACACATGCATTGATTCCAAGACCAACGGATGTTTGAGTCCAAGCATGAATCAGCGATTCGAAAGCTTCTATTTGGGGCAGACGTAAAAACAGCAAGCGAGGGTCCGGAAACCATTGGACGGATGCACAGATTGCGAAACTTGATTGCGCAAAGCGGTGTGCAAACGTTCTTGGGGTGGATCCAGAAACCTTCTGTACGTGCAATACATGACATTGAGTTGCATTAAATTACATTACATTGATTACATTGCATTGCATTACAATACATTGCATTACATTACATTTCAGTACATTGCATCGCATTACCTTACCTTACGCTACATTGCATCACATTACATTGTATTGTGTTCTGTTCCATTCTGTTACATTGCATTCCAGTACAGTGCATTACATTGCATTACATCCCATACCGTTGCAGCACAACATTACAGTCCGTTGCAGAACATTACCTTGCACTACATTGCGTTGCACTGCATTGCACAGGATTACATTGCTCTGCAATACATTACAACACATGACAATTGTCTACATAACATGACAACATGAAACACAAATAAACAAACAAGCAAAATGCAAGCACACCCGCACACACGTACGCAAGCAAGCGAGCAAGCAAGCAAGCAAGCAAGCAAGCAAGCAAGCAAGCAAGCAAACACAGAAACAAACAAACAAACAAACAAACAAACAAACCAAACAAAACAAACCAAACAAAACAAACCAAACAAAACAAACAAACAAACAAAAAAACAAACAAACAAACAAAACAAAACACACAATCAAACAAAAACAAACAATCAAACAACAACAACAACAACAAAACAAACACACATACACACAACAAACCCACCAACCAATCACAAAAACCATCAGCCAGACAACCAAACACACACAACCACAGAACCAACCAATCAGCCATCAAAAGACAATACCCAACCAGCCAAACAATCAAATAGACAAAGAAACACCGAAACAAAGATACAAATTTTAAACACATAAACAAACAACCAAAACAACAATAAGGCACACAAACATACAAACAAACAAAACAAACAAACAAACAAGCAAGCAAGTAAGAAAACACACGCGCACACACACAAGCAAACACACAAACACCCAAACCAACAACACAAACTGACACACAGGCACACACACACAAAAAAAAGACACAAAGAACCTGGCGAAACCAAACAAACAAAAACAGACAGAAAAGACGCAGACGTTCCGGAACCGAGGCACCGGGCCTCACCCGCACGATCAAGGGCTCAGTGCTTGCAAGGCCGGCCGCCGCGCCCTATGGGAGTTGAGGGGAGCCATGGGACCAGCCTCATGGGCTGCCCTCAGATCCCCAGCTACACGTGACTAACTTTTAGTGGGTTAAATGGAAACCACCACTAAACACAGGGCTAAAAGGCTAGGGAACCGGATGGCTGGGGGCCAAGATTCGTTTGAGCACTCTGGGGAAAAGAACATATTTCCTCTAGGGATAGATTCCCTTTAAACATGACAGGGAAAAAGTAGCAAGATAATCTTAAGCAAATGGAAGTGACCATTGATCTAGTAACCCATTGCTGCCGATATAGCACCATTTTGAAAACACGGTGACCATTGATCCATCAGCCATTCGGGACCTGTCAACCTTGCCGGGATCAAACCTTCGGCTGACCATTGATCTCCTCTCTCAGACAAGTGGCCCAACGGAAAGCAAAACGGTGGAAACCCGTTGGCAACAAGCTGACTCGCTTTACAGTTGAAATGGGTGTGTCTCAAAATAAGGGATCCCCATGGGCAGTGTTTGCCGCGTGGACTGCTGGCTCCGCCACCCACAGCTCCACCATGGGTTGTGGCCATGCTACCCGAACAGGATCTCCCGCGCCAGCGGAGTCTACGGGCAAATCCTGGTGTTGCTCCCCGGTTTTGCTCGCCAAAAGCTCAAGGCCGGCGTTGTTTGCTAGGGCCATTTAGGGCTGGAATGGGGTGGGCTGGGTTCAAAGTAAACTTTGTCATGATCATAGAGTCAAAATAACATCCTGCAGGACCCATTGATACACAAATGTTTGCTCGAGCTTTCGTGGCAAAATGTGGCAAATAAGTGCGCGAGTAATGGTAGTTTCAGCACATGCAAACACACGGATTGTGGGGCAGCGCTCTTGCCAAAGCCTTGCACACTTGTTGGAATTGCGCCCGAGTTGCGGAAAATTGCGGAGGAGTAGCGGGACATTACTCTCGAGTTGCGGGTTCGTTTTCTCTCGAGCTCTTCACACAAGCAGCTAGGCAACCTAAAAAAGGGCTCGAATTGGATTGAGCAGAAGAAAAGCGAGCGAATGCTAAAAACTGTCCGGAGCAGTTGTTTGTGTATCAAGGTCCTTCCAGGTTTAATCATTGTAGTCATAATAAGAATAATAGTACTAAAAGTGATCATTTAGCCTTTATAGTGCAGGGATCCTTAAATTTAAAGACACTGTTCAACGGCACAAAGGAGATGTTGCAGGGAGCAAACAACTTTCAACCGAGCACATGGTGTCCGTATGGCTTTCCGATGCGTCGCGCAGTAGCGTTTCCGACGTTCCGAAATTGCTTTTCATCCGACTGGAGATCAAGCAGGATCACCTCCAAGACAGGAAAAGAGGTGAATTGCTAAGTTGCGACAGAATCTGGCAGGGTGAATTGAAAACCCCGCCAATTTCATGTGGATCTGATACAACAGGATCCCTCCGATCCCAAACGATGCAGACAGGAAGGGATCCCTCCGATCCCACATGAAACACACGCACACACACACACAGATGCAAACAGAGACGCACTCACAGACAGACACATCCTCCGCCCAAGAGTTTCTTGGCATATGAAATGGGCCTCTGCCGGGCGTGTGACACGACTGCTTCTATCCTGGAACTCTGCGGGCAAGCCGGGGAGTCCCCAAGTTGCATCTTTCTAGTCTTCCCACCAAAGGAAATGGAACTATGCGCCCCTGGCAAACAGACTTGACTCTCCAAGAGATCAAGAGGGCGTGGACACATTGGGGAGACCAGAAGTGCTCCCCCCAACAAAATTTCCACCAGGAAGCCATCCGAGCCTACCCAAAACCGATACGCTGGAAGTTGCGTCAGCTTACACCTCTTGAGGGTTCCATGCTCGGGATTGGTTTCTAAGGAGAAACCAAAGGGAAACACCAGAGGCCACCCCCCTTTCGAGGGTTCCCCGAACCCCCAAACGGAAGCTTCCACGTGTTTCGGACACCACAGGGCTTTCGGGAAACGCCAGTTTCCGGACATCCGGACATCCGCAACCCAAAGTTTACCCGAGGGAAACAGGTTCTGGCACTGGACATCACCAAATGTCCCTGGAACCGTAAATCCGAAACCTACATCAACAATTTACCTTAAACACAGGTTCCGGAACCGTTTTTTCTGAAACCATCCATATATTTTCAATGGAAACTTGGCCGTGCCACCCAAAAACCCACCTCCCCAAAGCCTCGAGAAGCCGCGGCACCTCCTGCCCCGCCTCAGCTGGCCGCTTTTCCACGGGTTTTTGGGGGCCAAACCAATTGTAAGACACGCCCAAGAAATGGGTCAGTCGGTTTTTTGGGGCACCGCACAAAAATGGCCCAGGGTTTTCCTGGCACTTTGCCTTTAAAGCTACATCGAGGTGCTCAGAACTGACTCTGGGTGTTGGGAATGAACAGTGTGGGGATTTTGAAGGGAACGATCGGGAAGGATACTATAGGAAACCATTCCGTTTCTCATTCCCTGCATCTCTCGCACCAAAGGGGAGCCAAGTACACAACAAATGCTTGCGGCTCCGACCAGAATCGGAGACAAGGTTTGGAGCATTGGCTCGGACTCTCTAAATTAGAGCGGCTCGGAGGCTGAGGCAAAATTCATTCCAAAGCAATCGAAACGGGCTGTTGTTTTCAAGGTCTTCTTTTCTGCGATTTCAAAAGGAAGGGGAGGCCATCTGCCACCTGTAAATATTTATGGCTGGCTGGCTGGCTCAATTGCAAGTGTAACAGCAAACCATCCGGGTCGGCAAATGCATCGCATCAGCAAATAGACAGCAACAAAACGCCATCTTTGCCCAGTACTCCTGGCAAAAGCAAAGGCTGTCCTTTCTGGCTGTCCTCAGTTCCCCCGCTAAAAGTGACTGACTTTAAGTGGGTTAAATGGAAAACTAAACACTAAAAAGCTCAAAAACTACAAAACCGGATGGCTGGGAGCCATCAAGTCAGTTTTGTATTGGTCGATCTCAAAAGGCCCCGCCTTGCAAAGAAGCAGCGGCCGTGAGGCTTTTGACCAATGACCAGCAGCTCCAAGGCGTAGCATGCCAGCTGAGCTATGGCAAGCTTTTTGTTGAAGGGAAGGGTAAACATGGTAAAGCTCCCGTGGGCGTAAGTCCTGGGCTATTGCAAAAAGGACTCACTCAGTCCGGCAGCTCTCCCGAAATCGGGGTCTAGCGCCGGAACCTCCGGGAAACAACCCGCCGGAACCGGCGGGAAGCGACACCGGCGACCGGCTTTGCAAGCGTAGCCAGCCGAATTCCACGAGAACTCGTCAGCCCTACTTTGGGGCGAGTCAGCCAGAGTTTCACAGCCTCCAGATCTTGTAGGCATTCTCAAACCGAAGACATACCTGCAATAATGAACTCCTAAAAAAAACTTCATGATGTTCGTACATCCCCGTCAGAAGGTTGTCTACTGACCGAAATGTCACTTCCGGAAGCAAAACTACACCCAGCCGCAAATCTCTTGATGCTCAAGATAAGGGTCCGCTCTGCAGCTCAACAAATGTTGTATGTACACAAAGATACTCGTGTCGAGGACATCAACTTTGTTTGCATCAATTGCCAACGATACCGTCATGTCTAGATGTGTAGAAGACATAAGCATATTGATGGGGCATCTAAAATCGTCCCCTTTTTGCATCAGGCACAGGAGATGTGCGATCCATTTGAGGGAAGCATGAAGCAGAAAAACGCTTCCACAACGCAACACTCAAGTTGAAAGAGGTGTTGGAGACTGATTGAAACCATGTACAACCCTTTTGTAAAATCCGTTTCAGTTCCCATTGGCCCAGTTTTGTTCCGGGCGTTAAACAAGCCCTGTTCTGAGAACTGCCCATCTTTTGCCCGTTCCTTGCGATAGAGACCACTTTGGGGCCGCGGATTGTGTGCTTTCCCCCATCTGATAGATACATTCCACGGGTTCAACTGCAACTGCATGTGAACAGCCGCACCTTCCATCAACGCGTGTGGGAGGCTGCAACACTATCACGGCCCTATAGTACAAGCCATACAGAGCTCATTGCCCTCCGCCCAACCGCGCGTTGAGTGCGCGGTGAAAACACCGCGCTGAGCGTCAAGACTCTGAACCAGCGGAGCTGGATGGGGCTTGGAAGCCATTCAATGCTAGATATGGCTTGGTTGAGACCCCTTTGACTACATTCTCAGATTCTGGCTCAGTGAGCCTTTTGAAGATCTAAACCTGGGTCGCTTTCAGCGTACTATCTGTCAAGGCTTGATTGAGTGGACCCTTGTAGGTGACACTAGCCATGTTGGATGAAGTATGATGGGAACCTTCTCACAGATAGTAAAGGCATATATAACCTACTGGCTAATTACATGGATCTGTGGCCAACCGGTTGCCTGCTGGAGTTCACTCGGTTCACGCGATGCGTAGGCGGACCGAACTGAATTTCTGTGAGCCTTGCAACGTCAAATGCCTTTTCCAGTTGGGTGAAGACAACTGGCTCGGATGCCTCCCAGCCAAGCTACAAAGCTATGATTCATGCCGACAAATCATTGGTTGCACAAAACAATGCCGATCCCGACAAGAGGCAATATGTTGACTACCTCCTGCGAAAAGCTTAACTTTTGGTGGGTTAAATGAAAACCCCACTAAACTCTAGAAAGCTAAAAGAGCGGCCAAGTTAAAATTCAGCGGTGCGAATAATTAAAACTCACCTGTTTGGTCACCCCAGCGGAAATCACCTTGTTTTCAGATATCCTCAGGCCCCCCCTCTGCACGAAACAAGTATATCCTTAACCCGGGATTCGTTGAGCAGAAAGCGGATCTGACATGTCGAATGTCAGGGGCAAATAATTTCTCATGTTGTCCTCGCATGACTTAATTTGGGTCTTTATTTCCCGAGCCCAAAACCCGACACTCGAAAGTCCGATGCACGAAAGAGAACTCCTGACCTGAAATCAAAGACGATCCAGGACAAAGAGAACACCCACCCACCTCAGCCCAAGCTGCACGGCATGTGGATCAAGGAAAGCATGCATTGTAAGTTCACAAGCGAGTGTCTTGAAAACCAGCGTGTTCATTTTGTTTGCTCAAGAAATAAGGCGCTATCACAAGTGACCGCCAACACCGTACCCTGCAACCCTATTCAATACTGTGGCCCCTCTCCGTGCAATCAGGCGCTTCCTCGTGCTCTGAAAAGAGTCTCACGCGATTTGCGTGCATCCCTCACGCGAGCAAAAGCAGTATGCACCTCAGCGTGGCAAACCGGGCATCCACAAAGGGCTCTGACATGGGGATGGGGACCCATTGAACTCCCCCCTCAAAAACGGCAGGATTCTGCCCAGCCTCAAGCCAGCCAACTTTGTTGAAGGGCAGGCTTGGTGTTAAAGACTGTGTCGCTGAGGTCGCAGGGTGTTTGTCACACAACAAAGAAACATAAAAGCAAGAACCTGGATCTTCCAAATCATGTAATTTCACGTAAAATCCGGAGACTACCAATTGTTTGAGGGTCTCAGTGAAAAAACACGGAGTTTTCAAACTCCTGGTTTTTGAGGTAAAACTCCTAGAAATTGATTGTCGCTTCTGGAAATGGTTGCACACCTGAAACCCCTAGAAATCGCAATTATTCGATACTTGACGGAAGGAACTCTCCAATTCAGACATATTCTGAATCAGAATCATTCACCTGAATCAGAATCGTTCACCTGAATCAGAATTATTTATTCAGAATTCTGAATTATTCTGAATTCGGAATTATTGCCTTTGGGCGACAAATTGGCAAAACCGGAAAGCACCACACCTGAAACTCAGCGCAAAACACCCGCAAAAAAGCCCGCAAACTCCCGCAAAAACCCGCAAACTCCCGCAAATCAAAAAAGAACGGAGTTTCCGGAGTGTGCGTAGTAAAATCAGTGGAATACCCACTCCAGTGCAGAGTTGCATAATTGCTGGGATAGTGTACAGAGTTGCACAATTGCGCACCCAAACAACGAAAAAGACAACAAACCTTGAATCCAATTGTTTCCCCCAAGAACCACTGCTAGTTTTTGATGTTCACTCCTGCCTTTTGCAAGCCACTCCTGCTTTTTGATTCCTGCATTTGAAACACCTGAAACTCCTAGTTTTCAGAGGGTCTCCTGGAAATATCCCGGAGAACGGAAAAACAGAGAAATAACCCGGAGACGGAGGACCCAGGAATGGCTCAAAGCTTGCGGCGGTCAACCACGGCGCGAGCTTAAGGCAGTGGATTCGGGAAGATGGCATAATTCACTTGTTGTTTACGACCACACTGTAAATCCAATTCGGTTGATTCATCTGCCCACAATGGTTCATGACGGCACGCGGCTCAGCATGGCTCTCTTGACCTTCAGTTCCACTCAACTCGTGAACGCCTTGGCCAAAGAAAGACTCTAGACTTCTTTTTTCCACTAAAACTTAAACTGGTCCAAACCCAACAAAGTGACAAAAGTGTATCAACTCAGAAAGTTAGTCCATTGCAGCCAGGGCACAAACCTACCGCGGGCATCGCAAAAGGTCTTCGGCCCAGGTCAGTGTCGTCCGGGTCAAAGACCACGCCGGCCCCTCCTGTTAGCCCACGAAAGGAATGCTAAAGAGAACCAATTGCAGAAAATGTGGGCGTTTCTCAAGTTCGGAACTCTTCAGGTTGACTTCCTCTTGGCTCCTCCTTAAAGTCGTCCAGAAGCGGGCTCCCCTCCCAAAAACTCTCGCACGCCCAAGGTCCTGAATTACTTCTCGAAATGCCCAGGTGTGACACAATTCCTTGAACCGCGGCTAGCTTCATAGGGAGAATGCATGCAGCCAACCATCCCAAGCCTCCAAAGTTGTCTCAAACCCCCGTAAAATAGGTTGCTTCCTTTTGGCTTCCAATAGGAAACAACGCCGCAAAGGGGTCCTCTTTTTGCATGCTATGTTCAGGAACCCATTCAGTCCCACTGTTTTTGACATTCGTCGCGTGAGGGGATCAGCAGTCGCTGGTGACACGCCGACCACGCCCTCTGTTTCCAAATGCCTGACCTCAGCAATGTCAAGCTCTGAACACAAAGCTCCAGTGTGCCACTTTACTCAGTTTGTCAATAACATTGCGTCAGACTACATTGCGTCCTTCCTCATCTTAAGATTTCATGTTGGATGTTAGCACCATATTCAGTGGTGTGCGTGTGTGCCTTGTGGGAATGGCTTTCACAGGAAAGCATTGGCAACCTGCCCATTTCGCATGTGCCCATTTCCCTTTTGACTTGGG